AAACCCGGCCCTCGGTTCCCAGTGTTTTGTTTGATCGTTTCGTAGTCCACCGCCGTTGTTGGCGGAATAGGGCGAGTGTTCTCCCTTTCGAGTATGTTTTGGTTGAGTTCCCCGTTCTGGATTGTGATTGATGTCGTTATTCTTTGTCTGCCTGCGTCTGCCCGTGGATCGCCGCGACCTGGACGTGTCCTTCTCTGTGCTTCTTCCTTGTTGCTTGCATTTCGTCTATCGATTGCCGCGACCTGGATACGTTATTTATTGATATTATTTATTTATTTATTTATTTATTTTTCTGCGTTCGTCAGTTTTCTTTTGGCTGCTTTTAACAATCGGCATCGTCGACGATTCGAAGTAGTCGAAGCATGGGTGGTGTTATTTGCCTCTGAACACTTGGAAAAAGAGTACCCCAAGTTTCGTCGGTGCTGTTTGCCTTTGAACACTCGGAACACGAGTTCCTCACGTTTCGTCGGTGACGTTTGCCCTTGAATACTTGGAAAAAGAGTTCCCCAAGTTCCGTCGTTTCCAAATGCCACCTTTGTTTCTGTAGCCTGGCCATCACGAGAGGGGTTGACTACGCCCCATGCTCCGGACTTCCATACCGTTGCGTCCCCTTCTCCTGCGGCCTTCATCGACGTTCGCCATCGCCCACTTCACTGGACTTCTTTCCGCCATCGTCACTTCCTGGCGTCGACTACATCATCATAGTCGAGATCCCGAGTTCTAGTGTTGTATGCATGTTTTTGTGTTTTCTGGCTTTGTGTTGTGTGTTTGTGTTTCGTCATCGCCCGTTTGTGCGAGATATGGGGTGGCTAGTCGCATTAATTTTCGACTTTGATCATTCGTGTCGAGCCATTGGTTTTACATGGTTTGGACTCCACGTTTCTTTGTGCAGGTTGGTTGGGGTGGCAATTAATGCCTCTCTTCCGTTTTGGCCATGAACGTTCTTTCAGTCTTACCTTTTGTGGTCAGCGCATTCAGCCGTAGTGTGCTCGTCGTCCTGTCCCACTGAATTTTGCGGGAGTAGTACTGGACTCTTTTGTGTCGCCACCCTCATTCCTCCAGTCGTAATACGCGCTTGCGCGCGAAATAGAGTGGTGTGTGGCGTTTGATATTGATTTATTGTGTTCCTTGTGTTAAAACATGGTGCTTTGCAGCACATCTTGCCTAAGCAATATCCCTTCATGGGTATAACCTTATCATTGAGTCGCCACTTGCTGTGTTTCCGCGTCCTCGGAATCACATTTTGTCTCAATGGTGGTGTGGGGGGTCGAGTCGGGATANGTACTGGACTCTTTTGTGTCGCCACCCTCATTCCTCCAGTCGTAATACGCGCTTGCGCGCGAAATAGAGTGGTGTGTGGCGTTGATATTGATTTATTTTGTTTTTTGTGTTAAAACATGGTGCTTTGCAGCACATCTTGCCTAGCTATATCCC